TTGACAGTGACGATGAATTTAGTACCGAATTATCATCGGATGAGGAAAATTCAAGACCACAAAAAACTATTTGGCAACCAGTTCCAAATGCAACGTACATCTATGTTTAACCCCAAATTCAAACTGTTTTATGGAATTTCACGCTTAAGCATTTATGCACAGAAGTGGAAACATTGTAAGCCGTGTTACTTCAAAGTTACAAATCGAATTAATTAGAATAAAGTTGTTTAAACTGTTAAATATATTTTTAATTAGCATACATAGGTTTATAATAATAGATTTTCCGTTGCATAAATTTGTTTATATTTAAGAAAAAAATTCGGCCCATAGAGGGTGTTAACGTACCTTGTAGCTCCACGGTTTTACTTATCTGACTCACGCCAAAACAGCCATTTTGTGTCGTCTTCCGGGAATTCGAATCAAAGGAGCCGCGTCGCGTGCGACATCACACGCTTGACCGACTCCGTCGACCTTAGCAGCGACGTAGCTATAAATCACATAGGCTTAGGACTAGCACAGGGAATCTTGAACAGCTTAGAGAAATATTTAAAAAATTCTAAATTCTTTTCTTTTCTAAATCCTAAATTAATGCGAACATTCATAAAGCCCGGTCGCCTTCTGCTCTACTTTGTGCAAGTAGGCAAAACATGACGCTGGCAATACACAATAATAACAATATAACGTAAGCAGACAAACATTTGCAGATCATGAAAATTCAATATCTCATATGCAGCAACCTAATAACGCAACGATTTGAACAATGTAGTTCTGTGTCGCTTTTGAACAGTCCGCTATCGGGAAACCGTTTAAACGTCCAGTTAGTTAATCCAACGAATTCAAGGTAAGAGGACACATTATCTTGTTATTTTTGATTGAACTGTAGCGCCGTACGGTGAACAATTTCCATAGGAATAATTGAATATACTGTATGAATGCGAAAAGTTGTCAACAAAAAAGAGAAAAATACGTTTTCTTCATATGTGTTACTCAATAGTATACAATAAAGCTATAAATTGACGCGACAGCCTGAAACATTTTAAACCGATACTTGTTTCCACTATAAATACCTTTATTTTAAAACAGTTAATTACTTTTTCGCAGGTATTTTTACGACGCGATGCTGCCAAAGGCGCATCACAGTTGCCTTGTGATGGTCCTTTCAAGGTCTTGGAGTGACGAGAACTTTGCTATTGATATCAACGGCAAAACAACAAAATCCGTTTTCATTCCGGCTGAAGAAGACAATTTTCAATCGACTAATCATTTTAAAAATGGGAGTTCAAACAATTGCGAACAGTCGACTCAATTTGATGAGGTTGATTTACATGCGTCGGATGATCGGGTTAAAATTCGCAGGGGTAGACGCGTTCGATTTCTGAATAAATTTCAAGCGGGTATATAAATCACATGTAATCATTATATAGTAGCACAAGTTTATACTTAGGTTCATGAATTAGTATGTTTTCTGGTTACTTTTTGCTTCATAGTAGATTTACGTATTCACTTAGTTTTAGGTGTATATGTATAATTAGGTTTACGCGTATATTATTAAGTTATATTGTAAGATATGTTATTTTCTATTATCTTTGTGTAATGTGTATATTTATGTATTCTTTACTTTCGTCTCACTTTTTTCTTAATGTTAAACGTATTGTAGGTCTTGTTATTGGTTCCTACTTTTATATTTATATTATATATATTTTTTATATATATTTATATTTTTATATATTTTTATATATTTTATAAGTTTATATATTTATATATAAATATATAAAATTATAATATAATTATTTATATATTTATATAGTATTTTATATATTTTATATATATTTTTTTAAGTCATTTTGGTTTATACAGAAATTTTTCTTTTCTTTTTATTTTGATCCGTGCGTTAGTCACTGGAAGGGGGATAGTGTGACGTATCATTCTAAGCGTGGGAAAGATGATATAGCGTACGATACATTCCCTTTTTCGTGAAGCACACCATGGGCGATCGAATTCGAACATCTTTGCTATGTTTTTCTTGGCAAGGATTCCCCTCCCCCCACGTTTTTGAAAAGCATAGAATTTTCTGGCCCGTTTAGTTTTTGGGGAACATCATTAGCATGTTCACGGAAACGGTCAGAGGTTTCCAGAAAGTCGAACGATTTACTTCGACATTTTCATCCGCGATGGTTTTCAGTTGCGGAGAGAAGTATTCAAATTTTCTTTTATGTATTGTTTCTACGCCGGTATCGGAATGATCATTGTTTTTCTGTTATTGTTATTGGCGTTGTTGTAATTATTATTGTCATCACTGTTGGGGAATTAAAGCCTATCACGTGATACAAATGCATTGTTAATTTCTGATACTAGCAATACGAAATTTATTTTAACAAATCATGTTCCCTGGGTTTACTTTAATTACCCGGGAGTAAATACAATTGTATCGCTTTTCACATGCGCTAAAATAGATAAAATGTATTATAAAACAGTATCGGCTAATGGTAACAAAATAAAATATATGTTTTCAGACTAGATTGGTAAAATTGGTAAATGAAAGTAGAATAGTAAAATAATACTGGCTTATTGGATAAAATGGCATAGAGTACCATACAATAGAACGTAAAATCGAATGAATTAAAATACAATCAGGTATATTAAAAAATATATTATAAATAATATCATATACATGTATATATATTAAAAAATAAAGTTCATATTTACCAAATTTTATTCTTTCTTGTGCGGAAATATTCAAAAAATTTGCATTCACCGCATACCTGCATCCATGCATTATCTTTTTTTATACTATTATGATATTCTTCCGCACGCGTGTCTCATAATTTAGAAAATGTTTTTATGGTGCTGATCAAAACGTCGGTATCGACTGCATCCATTTTCTTGAATGACAGAAGAAGAACGATTGTATGTACAATATACAATCGAATATGAACAATGGTACGTTTGCGGCGAAGCAGGATTCACTTCGGTCGAAGAATTCGCAAACATGTTGCTTCCTTGCCGCTACAATTTGCGTTGCGTGTGAAGTATATCGAAAAAATCCATGTTCCGCTAAAATGTGGCGTCAGATCGCCGCAAATCGCTCGTCTGCATTTGTCTTTTGCGCCTTTGTTTTGCTAAACCGCGACTTTGCCGCCGAATTGCCGCCTCGTGTAAATTACTTCATATCAATCATTGTATTGCTAAAACGTGTGTGGCAGCACAAACCTGCAGTCGATTATCTTTTCGGCGGCAAATGGCTACCGATCGCTCCACTGAAGCCGACCTTAGAGAGTCATTCTGTATGTTCCATCGTGAAAGAACAAACACGTGGAGTTTACGTCGACAAGATTTACGACACGGACGCGATAAAAGGGTTATTTAACCGTGCCCAAGTTGCCAGAGTTAGCAGCCGTATGCAAAATTGACATTGCATCATTGTCTCCAGCTTCAAAATCGACATCTAATGCTGTCTTACAACCTAATGCACAAAGAAATCTAATTAATACTCATAATTTTTTTTGCTTACGTGCACATTTAAAACTTTGCCTCATGTGTGTGTGTGTGTGTGTGTGTGTGTGTGTGTCTAGAATATTAATTTCTACTCCATTCCTTAGACAGTTTTCAATTTCTTTGAAAGAAAATAGCTCTAACCATTCCACAGCCTGTGTTTACATACTAAATTATACTGATGTCCTAATCTGTTAAGCATATTGTTATCTTCACATACTATCTTGCTTACCGGCCGGCATCTGTCGACATCAATAAATATTATGATCATCTATGACCCCTGTATGTGCGCGATGTTTCCAAATGGAATTAAGTTTAATGAAGTCGCTGGTTGCCTTTACGTACACTTTAATAATATTACAGCTATGGTCTTAGCGATGCGTTATCTGCGTTCTTAGAGTTCTACGAGTTCTAACAGTTCTGGTGGTTCTAACGATTCTGTCTAACGTTCTAGGTGCCTTTTCGCTTGTCGCCTCGGTTTTTTTGTTGATTGGTGTATGGTGGGTTTTGGTGGAGGAAATGAAGCGTTTTTGATTGGAAATGGGAGTGTCGGAAGGAACTTGAGGAGTGCGAAACTGTTCGAAAGTTCGGGTTGTAAATTTTCCGTTTTGGGAAATATGGAATTTATGAGTCGTGTTGTCCGTTCGTCGGGTCGAAGGGTATTTTCGTTTGGGTGCATTTTTTAGTGTCGCAGGTATATCGCTTAATTGCTCAAGGGATGGCCAGGGACGTTCGACTTTCGGTGTTGCCGTCGCAACAACCCCTAAATATTATAATAATATAAATTGAATATCTAAGAGCAAAAATTGTTACAGAATATATCAATGATATCCCTAATTTATTCATCTGATTTGTATTATCTGAAATTCTAATATAATGACTTTGGATTAAAAACCAGATAAAAATAGGAAAAGTCATTATAATTTAAAAAAATTGGATTCCGCTCGATGCGAATATCGATTGGTGTGTCCTAATTACACTTATTTGCCACGTTCACACAACGATACATTCGCACTTATCTTATTAGTAATGTAATATGGTAATAAGTTATTACCATACTGCACACACACGCACGAACACACACACACACACACATTTATAATTTGTACGTTTGACCACCCATTCGGTGGTTCCTACTTGAGACGTGTTATGACTTAGGCTTTTCATACCCTCGAATGTGCGATGTGTGCGCCTATGTGCGTGTGCCTGGCGGCGAGAGTGTTTGTTGTTTCAAAGTGTACTTGCGTCCTTCTCCTTGTAGAAACCGTTGTGCCACGAGCACGTGCAGAAGTCAATTGTGAAATATCCAATGTCTAAAGTGATTATTATAATCAATATTGTGAATAGATTATTTAAACGAACCTCCTACAGAACCCGCCTCGTTTAAATCCATAGTAACAAACAAACATTTGAAGTGAAATAATATAATCTCGAACACATAATATATATACATATAAATAAAAACTAATTCATTTCTACATTTTCTATCTTGTGCAGTTTTTCGCGAACTTTTGGTAAATAATGTCATTGTTTCATTCTTAAATATGTGTACCTGTGTTCTCATAAAAACAAACAAAATTATTACGGCCAGCTTTCGTAGTCAAATGCTTGACTGTGTATCGAAACGTTATTAGAAACAAAGATCGTATTCGATATTATATCATACAGGGTATCCCAAAATTATGGTACTTTTGAGATATTCCTGAGATATTTGAAGTAACTTTTTCCTAAGCGAAAATGCAATCCGCGGCTTGTTTACGAGTCATTAGCGATGCCTCGAAAACAATTTTTGTAAAGGAAAAAGTTACTTCGAATGATCTTCCATAATTTTGGGACACCCTGCATATATATATTGCCGATATTGTATCGTATTGTATTGTATCGATGTGGCTATTGCCAGCAACTGAAATCGATGGGGATATATTAATAAATTAAATCAAACTCGATATATATCGATACTAAAGTATAGTATATTGCTAAAATAGTTCGGGATTTTACAATTGTTTAAAGTATTTAGTATTTCATGGATTCCAAGTTGACGGTCTTGGCGCAATGAGAAATGCGCGGTAGATCAAAGCTAAATGGCTCAACAATAATTATGTGAACTGTGTGTGTAACGTACTCGATTTCACGACACGCTATACGCGCGGGTGTCGATTTTAAGACAATATCCGACGTGAACGAAATTTACCGTATTTTCGTACTTTTAAAATCATACGAAATTGTTATAACAAATTATTATATCTAATATTATAACAAGATTCGACTAAGACTGATGGCGGGGGTGCGCGTTCGTGCACGTGATATCTAGTTTCGCGGGATCCTGGTTTACCAGTTTGAGGGGGGAGTCTGCATTCTTGACTTGTACTATAAACGTAAATTCAAACCATTTTTATGTTTACAGGACTAGTTTTGGTACACGGGATCATTGATATCGTAGGAACTTCGACGCAAAGTAACCGACTTTTCGTTTCATAAAAAGTGGAAGGAATGGAGAGCGCCCGAAAGAAGCTCAAAATAATGTTGAAGGGAGAAGATGAATCTGATGAAGATGTTGAAAAAGAACCTATAAGAGATAAGAGAACCGCAGTTCATCCCAGTGTATTTTCAACCAAGGTAAAAAGTCCAGTCGATGCACAGTTATTTTCTTCGTAGTGGTAAAAATTGTGGATTTGATTGGAAATTTTTTCTTAACCAGTCATCAGTGGCGCCTCGTTTTCAGAGCGCGCACCTATACGGGGTGTCTCAGAAATGTCTCGTAATCCAGAAATGGAAGGTTCCTGAGGTCATTTGAAGTAACTTTTTCCTTAGCGAAAGTACAATCCGCGGCTTCGTTTACGAGTTATTCATGAAAAACAGTGAACAATGAGAGGCGAGATCAGCTGGCGCGAGTCGGTCGAGCCAATGAGCGGAACTGCGGCTTCGTGCGCTCGTCGACTGGACCGCCTCGCGCCAGCCGGTGCTCGCCTCTCATTGGTCAGTGCTTTTCGTTAATAATTCGCATACAAAGCCACGGATTGCATTTTGGCCGAAGAAAAAGTTGCTTCAAATAACCTCAGGAAGCCCACACTTTCCGGAAATACTATTGTATAATTTTGGGACACCCTCTGTATATAGCTTTGTTTAGCTTTTTAAATGCACGCATTAATTGTAAGAAAAACGGGGCATGTCACGGCTGTCGAGATTCATGGTTGAGAATTTGTGCAGACATTTGAGTCGATGATCCTGGTTTTAAGAAATGAAGAACTTCAAAAAACGCAAATTTCTTACCGAAGTAGAAATCGCACATCTACTCTACATTCGTAATAACAACATATTAACAGAATTGCGGTTTCAACATTTTTTCGGATTTTTCTGTTAGGTGCGCCATGATTTAAGCGTTCATAAATAATCATAATGTTTATTCATGTCGACAGATGCCGTCCACCAGCAGCATGGAATGTGAAGATGACAATACACTTAACGTTCGTGCACAGAGCCTGATGACTGGTTAGTTATTTGAGTATATTTATTGAACTTCCTAAAGAATGGAGCAGAAATTAATATCCTAAATACAAGAGGCAAAACAGTTTTAAATATTCCACGTGAAAAAAAATTATGAATATTAAATTAGATTTCTTTCTGCATTAGATGTCGAATTTGGAAACAATGGTGGCATGAAAGCTTCGCATTCGGCTGCTACCTCTGATAACATGGAGGCCGAGATGGTGAAAGTCTTGTTCGCGGCTACTACTACTGGTAACTTCCAACTGGTTAAAATTCTGATAAATGAAAGATCGATGGATTTTAATGCTAAAAATAGAGACGGCATGTCAGTTGCGCATGTGGCTGCTGAAAATCGTCGCTTGGACATACTCAAATTTCTGTTGGATGAAAAACAGGTCGATTTAAATGTCACAGACAGATTTCGCAATACAGTTTTGCATGTAGCTGCTTACACCGGTCATTTGGACTCGGTTAGGTATCTGATAGATGAAAAGAAGTGCGATTTTAATGCTAAAGACGTATTTGGCAAAACAGTTTTGCACATGTCTGCTGTCGCTGGTAGTTTGGAGACGATTAAATATCTGATCGATGAAAAAGCGGTCGATTTTAATGCTAAAGACAATGATGACAGGACAGTCTTGCACTGGGCTGCTACCTCTGGTAACTTCGAGATGATTAAATATCTGATAAATGAAAAACAGGTCGATTTTAATGCTCAAGACATGTTCGGCAATACAGTTTTGCACGAAGCTGCGAAATGGGGACATTCGAAGATGGTTAAATATCTGATAAATGAAAAAGACCTCGATTTTAATCTTAGAGACAAGAGTGGCAGGACAGTTTTGCATTCGGCTGTTAAATCTGGTCGGTTGAACATGGTCAAATTTCTGATCAATGAGAAAGGGGCCGATTTTCGCGTCAGAGACAATGATAATAGGACAATTTTGCACTGCGCCTCCATCTCCGATAACTTGGAGTTGGTTAAATTTCTGATCAAGGAAAAAGGGCTCGACACGAATGTTCAAGACATATTTGGCACATCAATTTTGCACGGGGCTGCTCACAACGGTAACTTGGAGATGGTCAAGTTTTTGTTGAACGAAACAAGGGCCGATGTTAATGTTAAAGACCTGCAAGGCACGTCAGTTTTGCACAGTGCTGCCGGCTGTAATAACTTGGAGCTGCTGAAATATCTGGTAAACCAGAAAGAGGTCGATATCGATGTCAGAGACCACGAGGAGGGCATGACAATTTTGCATACAGCTGCTGTAAGTGGTAACATAAGCGTGGTGAAATTTCTGATAGATGAGGTAAGGGTCGATTTGAATGTTCCGAGCTATTACGGCAGAACAATTTTGCACTGGGCTGTGATGTCTGGTCACGTGGAGCTGGTTAAATTTCTGGTGAATGAGAAACAGATCAGTGTTAACACTATGGACTACGAAGGCACAACAGTTTTACATATGGCTGTTAAATCCGGCTACGTGCCAATGGTGGAATTTCTGGTGAATCATAAACAGTTTGATTCCAACACTCGTGGCAAATATGGCATGACAATTTCGCACGCGGCCGCTGTCTCCGGTAGCGTGGAGATGGTTAAATATCTAAGAAATGTAAAAGGGGTCAATTTCAATGCTATAGCCGATGACGGCGGAACGGTTGTGCACTGGGCTGCCCATTCTGGAAACTTGGAAATGGTTAAATATCTGTTGGACGAGAAACTGATCGATCTTGACGCCGAAAGGGATCATGGCACAAGTATTTTGTACGGGGCTGCTACCTCTGGCAACTTGGAGCTGGTTAAATATCTGGTAAAGGAAAAAAGGCTCGGATGCAATGATAAAGACGATGCTAGCAAAACAATGTTGCACTGGGCTGTTCACTCTAGAAATATTAATTTGGTTAAATTTCTGATAAATGAAAAAGATATCGATCTTGGTATTAGGGACCATTTTGGCCAGACAGTTTTGCACGTGGCTGTTAATATTCAAGACTATCAGATGCTTAGATTCCTGATAAATGAAAGAGGGGCCGATCTTACTGCTAAAGACAATGAGGGCTCGACAATTTTGCATACGGTTGCTAAATTTCGTCGCTTAGACATGATTCAATTTCTGGTGGAGGAATTAGGGGCCGATGTTAATGCTATAGACAATCTCGGCAGAACAGTTTTGCATATAGCTGCTAAATCTGGCAACATAGACGCGGTTAAATATCTGGTGGATGAAAGAGGGATGGATTTCGATGCGCAAGACAGGTTTGGCAAGCCAGTCGTTCACATGGCAGCCATGTCTGGTAATTTGGAGATCGTTAAATTTCTGATAAACGAAAAGGGGGCCGAGTTTGAAACTGCGGACATGGACGGAAAGATAATTTTACACTGGGCTACTAGCTCTGGTAACTTGGAGATGGTTAAATATCTGATAAATGAGAAACAGATCGAACCTAATGTTAAAGACAATTATGACATGTCAGTTATGCACGGGGCTGGTATCTCTGGTAACGCGGAGATGATTAAATTTCTGGTGGATGAAAGAGGCGGCGATGTTGAAGTCATGGACTGTTATGGTACCACGGTTTTGCACGTGGCTGCTCTATGCGGTGACTTGGAGACGGTTAGATTTCTGGTGGATGACAGATTCGTCGAGTTTGATAATCAAGGCAAATTTGGCATGACAGTTTTGCACATGGCTGTTGCCTCCGGTAACTTGAGCTTGGTTAAATATCTGGTGAATGATACAATGATCGATTTTGATTCTCAAGACGATGAGGGCCAGACGGTTTTGCATACGGCTGCTACGTGTGGTCACTTGGACAGTCTTAGATTTCTGATGGGCGAAGATGTAGATTTTAATGTTAAAGACCACTATGGCAGAACAGTTTTGCACATGGCTGCTAGAATAGATAACCTAGAGATGATTAAATTTCTGATCAATGAGAAAGGGTTCGATTTTGAAGCTAGAGACAACGATGGCAGAACAGTTTTACATACGGCTGCTAAGGCCGGACACTTCGAAATGGTTAGGTTTCTGGTGGACGATAAGCAGGCCAATTTTAATGCTAGAGACAATGGGGGTAGATCAATTTTGCATTTGGCTGTTAAAGCTGGCCACATTGGTATTGTTAAGTATCTAGTGGAAGAGAAAAACGCCTATTTTAATCCTCAAGACGATGATGACACCTCACTTTTGAAATGGTGTCCTATATTTGGTGTGACTTGGGTAATTGAATACCTGACAAATCGTAGAACTGTCGGTCATCAGGCGGAGCTTAGCTAGCCCAGAAAGTGTTTGTAAGCTGAGCGATGGTTCCAGTTCTATTTCACAGTCTCGTTAGGAGCGAGCCACATGGTATTGTGTCAGATGCAGGAAGAATCGGAGAAGCAAAATATTTTGAAGGCGGGATTGTGGCATGAAGTAAGAAAATGTGAATCTTTTTAATAATACTGTAATTATAATAGGTCAATGATTAAATATGTTGTTTGAAGCGATATATGACGCACAGAATCGGAATAACCATCATGCTGTCAAAGAAGTGTTTCGTGCAGAAATTATGTATACCTCGGTGACCTTGACTTTCTAAAATTGACTTCACAGTGTTGTAGCTGAGAAGAATGCTTCACAATTTGCTATATCCATTATCTATAGATGGTTTTAAATTCAGAAACCTATGTACGATCAACAGAGACGGCATTATCGTTGTACTGTTCGATTTGTCTACCAGTTTTATTAGTTTATTATGAACATTTAATTCGATTAAGAAATTATCAAATAATTTTCCACATTATCGCTTCCGTTAATCAAGCCCAAATTTCTGATCTTAAGGTAATGTGAAGTCTAAAATATACAGGATGTCCCAAAATTATGATACTTCCGGGAAATGATGGGTTCCTGGCGTCATTTAAAGTAACTTTTTCCTCAGAGAAAATGCAATCCGCGGCTTTGTTTACGAGTTATTAATGGAAAACATTGACCAATGAGATGCAAGCTTGCCTGGCGCAAGATGGCTACGCCAACGAGCGGTCTCGAAATCCAGTTCAGCTTATTCCCGGAATTAACACAATTTTGGGACACCCTGTATGATGTCATTTAACTAAAGTCGGGCTTGCCTTAATTTTTCTGAGGGAAACATAATTTGCTTTGTATTCAAAACATTTCCTTCACAGATTATTGGAAATGCCTAAATGATGGTGGTTCATCTTAATAAATAAATTCTGCTTCGCAAATTTTAATTTGAATGATAAATCTGAAAACGCATGCTATGTATTTCGTCTGTTTTAATTTTTGTTTCACTTTGTCGTATAGATTGACTCTCTAAGGCTGGTTTCAGACGAGCGATTGGCGGCCAGTTGCCGTCGAAAAAAGCAATCGACTGCAGGTTTGTGCTGCCGCGTTTTAGCAATACAATGATTGATATGAAGTAATTTACACGAGGCGGCAATTCGGCAGTAATTCGGCGGCAAAGTCGCGGTTTATCGAAATAAGGGCGCAATAGACAAACGCAGACGAGCGGTTTGCGGCAATCTGACGCCGCGTTTTAGCGGACCATAGATTTTTTTGATGTACTTCACACGCAACGCAAATTGTAGCGGCAAGGAAGCGACATGTTTGCGTGTTCTTCGACCGACGCGAATCCTGCATCACCGCAGACGTACCGTCACTATGTGTATCGTCATTCAATACGTGCAATCGTTCTTTTTTTGTTATTGAAGAAAATGGACGCAGTCGATACCAACGTTTTCGTGAGCATCATAAAAACATTTGCTGAATTATGGGATACGCGTACGGAAGAATATCATAATAGAATAAAAAAAGATAATGCATGGATGCAGGTATGCACTGTGGAGAATGCAAACTTTTTGCATTATTTCAGTATTCACTTATTGCAATATTTCCGCACAAGAAAGAATAAAATTTAATAAATATAAACGTAATTTTTTAATATATATATATATAATTATATACATATATGTAATATTATTTATAATGATATTATAATATTATATATATAATTATATATACATAATTATTTTTTAATATATCTGATTGTATTTTAATTTATTTGATTTTACGTTCTATTGTATGGTACTCTACTCCATTTTATCCAATAAGTCAGTATTATTTTACCTTTCTACTTTCATTTACCAATTTTACCAATCTAGTCTGAAAGCATATATTTTATTTTCTTGCTACTAGCCGATACTGTTTTATAATACATTTTATCTATTTTTATCACGCGTGAGAAAGGCAATACAATTATATCAACCCCCCGGGGTAACTAATGTAAACCCGGAGGAACATGATTTTTTAAAATAAATTTCGTATTGATTGATATCAGAAATTAACAATGCACTTGTAACAAGTAATAACTTTTAATTCGCCAATAGTGATGATGATAACAATGATGACAACAACAATAACAATAACAGAAAAACAATAATCAGCCAATACCGGCATAGAAACAATACATAAAAGTTTGTCGCAGGGGTTACTGCGACGGTTTATATAAAATAATCCGAGAGAGTTTTTTTGGTTTTTATATAACGAGAACTTTAATATAATTTGTAACAAAAGGCGATGGGGTACAGTGTGTAAAAGGTAAAGGTAAACGAGTGACGGATGAGACAGAAAATAAAACTAGCTAACTAACGTCTCCCGGTCGAGAGGTCCTCGTATTTATTGGGGAGAGCGTATTGAAATTGGTAAGGGAAAGTCCTTGGGAAGGGCGAAGGCCTTTCCCGAAGATTTTCCGACCGGGGTGATCCGGAACCTAAGGTCCGAAGCTGTGTCCCAACGTTTTTATTGTTTTATGGCGGTGTGTACGCCTTGCGTCGAGAAAACCCGAAAAGGCATCTGCACACCCCGCTTTTGGAGGACGTGGCTTTTTATGTCTGGTCCGCCACAAAAGAAAATTTGTATACCACGCATGTAACTGAAAACTATCGCGAGTGAAAATGTTGAAGTTCGACTCTCTGGAAACCTCTGACGTCCCCCAGAAACTAAACGGGCTAGAAAACTCTATGCTTTTCAAGTACGTGGGGGGTAAAATTGCTTTCAAGAAAAACATAGCAAAGATGTTCCAATGACGATCCCGTCCAATAACGGCTCTGTGAATTCTAACTTTATTGCCTAGTCTTTTGCCCGGGTCCAGTGTCTTTCGTTAATAACTCGTAAACAAAACTGCGGTTTGAATTTTCGATAAGGAAAAAGTTATTTCAAATGATTTCAGGAACTCCCCATTTCCGAATTGCAAGACATTTTTTGGGGTACTTGTAGAATTCAAAGTAGGAGTATTACAATTAATAAGTCATATTAAAAACCAATATACCTGTCTCTTATACACATCTAGATGTGTATAAGAGACAGGTATATTGGTTTTTAATATGACTTATTAATTGTAATACTCCTACTTTGAATTCTACAAGTTTGAAGACTGTCTGTCTCTTATACACATCTAGATGTGTATAAGAGACAGGTATATTGGTTTTTAATATGACTTATTAATTGTAATACTCCTACTTTGAATTCTACAAGTTTGAAGACTGTCTGTCTCTTATACACATCTAGATGTGTATAAGAGACAGGTATATTGGTTTTTAATATGACTTATTAATTGTAATACTCCTACTTTGAATTCTACAAGTTTGAAGACTGTCTGTCTCTTATACACATCTAGATGTGTATAAGAGACAGGTATATTGGTTTTTAATATGACTTATTAATTGTAATACTCCTACTTTGAATTCTACAAGTTTGAAGACTGTCTGTCTCTTATACACATCTAGATGTGTATAAGAGACAGGTATATTGGTTTTTAATATGACTTATTAATTGTAATACTCCTACTTTGAATTCTACAAGTTTGAAGACTGTCTGTCTCTTATACACATCTAGATGTGTATAAGAGACAGGTATATTGGTTTTTAATATGACTTATTAATTGTAATACTCCTACTTTGAATTCTACAAGTTTGAAGACTGTCTGTCTCTTATACACATCTAGATGTGTATAAGAGACAGGTATATTGGTTTTTAATATGACTTATTAATTGTAATACTCCTACTTTGAATTCTACAAGTTTGAAGACTGTCTGTCTCTTATACACATCTAGATGTGTATAAGAGACAGGTATATTGGTTTTTAATATGACTTATTAATTGTAATACTCCTACTTTGAATTCTACAAGTTTGAAGACTGTCTGTCTCTTATACACATCTAGATGTGTATAAGAGACAGGTATATTGGTTTTTAATATGACTTATTAATTGTAATACTCCTACTTTGAATTCTACAAGTTTGAAGACTGTCTGTCTCTTATACACATCTAGATGTGTATAAGAGACAGGTATATTGGTTTTTAATATGACTTATTAATTGTAATACTCCTACTTTGAATTCTACAAGTTTGAAGACTGTCTGTCTCTTATACACATCTAGATGTGTATAAGAGACAGACAGTCTTCAAACTTGTAGAATTCAAAGTAGGAGTATTACAATTAATAAGTCATATTAAAAACCAAAATACCTAACAGTCTTCAAACACCCATCCATTCAAATCACCAATTTACGTCTACGTTTACACAATTTATTTCAACAGATATATCGTCAACAGATACCTCGTTTTCAAACCAATCAACATAATTTTATGTAACAATGTTGTATTTATTATTATTTTCTTTGTTTTTCATCTTTATATGTTTAGTTGTTTCTGCATTTGTACATGTATTTGTTCTCAATCGTATATTGCGTTTATAAAATTTAAATACATATTATACGTATTGTATGTATACCACAGTGTTACAGCTGTAACGTACGGAGAATCTTCCCACGTATTTTTTATATTCCTTCCTGAAGGCATACGCCAGGCTGGCGCCAGCCAGCCGGGGGTGCATTTGTATATCGTGAGTCGAGTACCTCCGAGGGGGTACGACGATGAACGTTCTGGAATCGGACCACATAGGAACACCCCTACTACCATTTTTCCACAAAAATCTCATTATATAAAGGGCTCAAACGCGACCAGGATTTGGGCTTGTTTCGAGACATTCGTCGACACGTAAACGTTAATGAGATCGAGTTCAATTCTCTTTCGACCAATCTACGAGGTAACAACCTAAAGTCAGAAGCCCCCGCCGGTTCAGTGCGAAAAACTGAGAGCGCGTTAGAGTCCGCGAACACTCACTTACAATTGTTAAAACTCAACGCGTAATAAATTAGTTTTTACCAGTTCTCTTTGGTTTCTAGTTCAATCATTTCCATCTCCTGCTTCGGACCAGTAGTAGGTAAAACCCACCAAGATGTACCTCAACCGCTCGAGGTATATCTTTATTTCTTTTTCTAACAAAGTCACGAGGCACCCTAACATCAATTTCTCCAAACACCTTATCCCATCTTCCTTGAAGGTAGCCACCCGTGTCGAAATAAACATCGGCTGGTCTACGCACCTTATCCAAAAATTCCAATTGCATGCAACCCCCGGCCACCCAAACTGCCTGGCCCTCGGCTCGTAACACAGCAATCATTTCTGTTTCCGGGATAGCCACTCTCATTACAATGTCTACAGTCTTCAATTTTTCAGAAATTTTTGAACATTATTCATCGAGAGACTTTACACTCGCGAAAATAATTAAAAAATATTATCTCGTTTTCTCTCAAATCAGTGAAGGTTCTCCGTCGAATCGAGGCATGTGTCCTCCGAATTGTCGTTGAATTGCGACATTTGGCCACACCGTATTGTCGTCGAACATATATTTTCTTTTGAACGGCATACATGCATTGAGCATCGTTCGCAAACTCGCTGGCAAATGTGGTCGAGAATCCTACGAGGCGAAAAGTACAAGTCGAATATCGCGCCGTGTGTTTCAGATGGTGGCGCCAGACGTACGGATGCGCAAAAAGAGTGAGACCGGAAGCACGGTAAAGTGAGACGGCCTAGGTTTTTCATCCGTGTGGATACTCACACATAGAGCCCGCTGGGTTCGTACTGTCTCCCTTGATCATCTTCCGTTCTCTTTCTAAGGCAACTGCGCGAAGATGGATGCGCAGTAAAATGGCGGGGATAGAAAGGTGCTCGAATTGGGGAAAGAAAAAGCTCTTGAATTGAGAGACGACTATATTCCATATACAGGGTGTCCCAAAATTATGGTACTTCCGGGAAGTGAGGAATTCCTGAGATCATTTGAAGTAACTTTTTCGTTAGCGAAAATGCAATCTGTGGCTTCGTTTACGAGTTACTAATAAAATCCAATGACCAATGAGAATCGAGATCAGCTGACGTAAGCCGATCGAGTCAATGAACGGAACTAGATTTCGTCCGTTGGTTGGCTCAGTCGCATTGCACCAGCCGAGCTCGCCTCTCATTGGTCACTATTTTTCGTTTTGATATTTCTTTTTTCCATAGTAAATGATATTACATTGTATAACAAAACAATGTCACTATTCGAAAGATATTATAAAATGAAAGATACATAAAAATAAATATTAAAGTTAAGAACTAAGTTCTTAGTGAACTGATAGTTCACTTATCGTGAACTATTACGCGTCAAGGTCTAAAAAGAATTCTAGCACTGTAAAGTCTATAA